TTAAAGGAGCCTGGAGTGGGGGAACATGTTCCTAAACTTACAGTCAAACCGCTTCATATATCTACTAACCAGCTGGTTCCTGGCCTGGTACAGGAGGGACCTGGCCAGGGTGTAGCTGTTCACTGTCCTTTGTTGCCAGAGATGATGTAGCCAATGGTGGCCTACTGGGGCAGAAAGACAGATGCCAGGACTCTATGAAGTGAGTCTCTAAGGCAGTCTACTGTCTTAAGATTTTGAACTCAATGGCATTTTTAGAGACAGATAGGATGGCAATAGAGCAGACACAAAAGTCTTTAAAACATAATCCATGTGACTAAAAGTTGCGGAGTATTTCAATTCCGATGTGTGGGACAGGTACACAGAATTACCATGGCTTCCCCTCAGAGACAAAGACCTGCTCATTTTTAGGGCGAGTCTAAACTGGTTATTTCTCCTCAATTGATTTCAAGATCAGAGCTGATGTAAGCAAATTATTGAGAAGGACAAAAAGAAGTGTGTGGAAAGAGCTTGTATGTGTGTGTGTGTGCACTCATGCATGTGTGTGTGCTATACATATCCATGTGTGAGTGTGCGTGTCTATATGGGGAAGCATGTTGTGCATCAGGTGTCTTCTTTCTTATTTTTTAAGACAGAGTCTCTCACTAAACCTGAAGGACATTCACTGTTGAGGGTCACCTCTTTGGCTAGGCTGACCAGCAGGCCCCCAGGAGCCTCTTGTCCCATAGCCATATCTGGCTTTTACATGAGTACTTGGGATTTGAACTCAGCTCTTCTTGCATTCACAGCAAGTGCTCTTAATCACTGAACTGTCTCTCTAGTACTGGCAATAGTTACTCCCCTAGTTAGTTGGCTTTTTAAAAGAAAGGAAATAATAGGAAAGTTTTACCATATAAAATTTGATATTATTTGGCAACTAGTGAAATAGAAAGTGTCCAGGAATCTCTAAGGATGAAACGCAAGACAGAGCTGTAGGTCACAATGTCAGAGAAAAATGGAGACAGTGGCCAGGCTACTTGAAGTTTAATGGGTTTGTTGATCCGTACTTTCTCTCCATGGGCCAATTACAAGTGTACTCCATGGCACCTGAGTCTGCCCAGAACTGGGATGAGGCAGTGCTGGCAGCAGAGCTGAGTCGCCACCCCAGCCAAGGCGTGACCCATCTGTGCTCTGCTCCCACCTCTCAGAAACGTTACACATGTGCTCGGATTTAACCTGCCTTGTGAGTGACGCTGGGATGTGGGGCTCCCTGTGGCTGGACACTGCTAGGGCATGGCTCAGTAGTCGGGCTGGGTCTTCACAGCCTGCCCACCTTGGTCCTCGTGGATCACGAAGACAGTTGGAAAGGTGGCTGTGAAGTGGGCACTGGCTTTGTTTTCACATCTCAATTGGCTGCTTTCTTGGTGTAACTGGAAGCCGAAATCTCAGCACCGATGTCAATTCTAACCACTGTTTCCTGGAAATAAAACCCAGGCGTTCCATTGCCCAGGGCTTCTGATAGCATATCTGAATCCTTTTCATATTAATCACAAATGCATATCCAGTCTGGATAGGTCAAGTGTAGTCCTCACCTCCTAACCCCTTTGAGAAGGAGGTGACCTGGGTCTGAGAGGTGACAAGTGGGATGGGCAGGAACACTGCTGTTCTCTATGACAAAGACACATTTGCACAGCAGGCTGGAGAAAGGGACCTGGCACGTGCACGTGATTGTGGCCTGGCCTGAATACAGAGCTGATAATGATAAGGAGAGACGTACCAAAGCTCTGAAACCATTTATAAATATCGATGTACTGTTACACACATGTTCATTAGACACAAGGTCTAATATGGAGTCTTATCACCACTAAGCTGTTCAAGGCGGGAGAAGCATCAGAGACGCCCGACAAAGGCTGCCTTATGTCGAGTACTCCTTCACTCTGCAGGTGCTGCCAGTTCCGCACCTCTGTTCGCCTCCACCATCGCAGGTGGTCCTAAACTTCAACTTAATTAGTTTCCCCATCTATCACAGTTCCGTTTCTGTGGCTGTGATAAAATGTCCTGATCAAAAGCAACTTAGGGGAGAGAGGGCTAATTTCAGCTCACAATGCCAGGTCACAGTGCATCATAGAAGGGAGTCCGTGTGACAAGAACTTAAAGTACCAAGTCCTGTCACATCCGCACTCAAGAGCAGAGAGATGAAAGCAAATGCGCTTATTCCTTAGCCCATGTTCTCAGTTCTCACATAGCCCAGGACCTAAGCCTAGAGAGTGGTACCACCCACAGTGGACACCCACGGATGTGATCAAGACAAGCCCCACCCTCACCGCACACATCCACAAACCACTTGTTTTAGACACTTCCTCATTACTACTCCTTTCCTGGTGCTGTCGGATTCTGTAAACCTGAGAATGGAAACCACCCATCACACCCATCCTGGCTCCTGGGCGCCAGAGGGGACACAGGGACTCTGGGTGTAGGTGTGGCTTAGGGTCAAGCTGCCGCAGCTCTTTCTTTTTTTTTTTAAATTTATTTATTTATTTATTGAAGATTTCTGTCTCTTCCCCGCCACTGCCTCCCATTTCCCTTCCCCTCCCCCAGAAAAGCCCCCCTCCCTCGTCAGCCTAAAGATCAATCATGGTCCCTGCCCTGTGGGAAGTCCAAGGACCACCCACCTCCATCCAGGTCTAGTAAGGTGAGCATCGAAACTGCCTAGGCTGCCACAAAGCCAGTACGTGCAGTAGGATCAAAAACCCATTGCCATTGTTCTTGAGTTCTCAGTCCTCATTGTCCGCTATGTTCAGCAAGTCCGGTTTTATCCCAGGCCAGCTGGCCTTGGTGAGTTCCCAATAGAACATCCCCATTCTCTCAGTGTGTGGGTGCCCCCCTCGCGGTCCTGAGTTCCTTGCTC